TCCGGTTGAAAAACTTTCATCTCCAATTAATTGGGTACGTGATAAGTGCGGTAAGAGCCGTCATCTTTCAGGGGTTGGGATATGCTTTGCACATAGGGAGTTGTAGTTGGAGATCAGCTGCACTCCCAACGGTGTCAATGGGGGAGTAGCATCGGAAACTGTGATGCGTTTGCGAAAGAGGCACGTTGCAATAGGTAAGATAGGCTCACGTTGGGTAGACGTGTCTTGAGGCTTAACAGTGGTCGAAGCTAAGTGAACTCCTCTGGGCAGTAGTTAGTCTTCTGGATACATTGGATGAGCTTGTAGGCGGAGAAACACCGATTATTTGTGGCAGCTGAGCATCTTGTAGATTGCTGGGAAGTCCTTATTAAAGTCGTCCATTTTCGAAGTTAGTATGAAAGTTTGCACGAGGGGGAGTGAAACTTGAGGTGATAATTAAATCTCGGTTTTCTTGGCGATCATAACTTCTTTGGCCTTCCTTCAACGAATTCTGGCCGTCCGCTCGATTCATTCCAATCAAATGGAGCAGTTGGTAGTATCTGAACACATCCAATTTGATTAAGAATATCAGAATGCACGGACCTATAAATCTTGACAAACGTAATACGGCTAAGCTTACGCTTTTGGGATCCCCCATTTTCGAACAAGACCCAGGTCTTCATTTAAGAGACACTTGTGGGTCATAGTTCTTTACTGCATTTCTAACTTTTTCGTGATAATAATGTTCTCAAGTAACTTCAGTTGTAGGTAAGAAGTCTTTAAATATTGCATCTATATGTAGGTCTTTCTGGGAAATTTGCATAATTTAGCTATTCCAAACTGAAAAACCTGATGTGTTAGGTGAGTCTTAGACCTAGGATAGCGTATACCTTGCCAGAGTTGTCGTCCTTAAAGTAATGGGTTCAAACGCCAGTAAGGTCACGAGCTACTCACAATCCGATCAATGGAGACCGACCTCAAAGTGCATTCTCTGTCCGCGGAAACAGCAAAATATAAATCATTATGCGTTCGATAGAACCAACGCCTTGTCGATCTCGCATCTGCTTATCATCCTGATAACATTAAGTAAGCACAAGGCAATTGTTAATTTTTTTAGTCAACTAATTACGCACCTCACTGGATTTACAACTTTGCTTACCGTTTTAAGCACTTTCTCACATCCAGCGGACTCTACTGTCATGGAAAAGAGCAATGTAATTTCACGAAATGCGAACAAGCAGTATACACAGACTGCGACACGCTTTGGATTGTTTTGTTATTTACGTTCCTCATATGTGTTTATGATCGGTCCCTCTGCGTGTGGCTTCGAGAAAGGCCTTTAATCTGATGACATAATCCCCGGGTTATCTAGCCTTTTCTCCAACTAAACGCATATTGCGTTACACATAAAGGAACCTTTTTGACTCTGAAATCTGCGTATTACTCGGATAGAATTTTTACCGATGTTGCAGCCGACGGGCTGCCATACTGAATGTTACGCTAAGTCCTGCAAGATATTTAATCGAATTATTGATGTAAGGATTAGAAGCTTCAGGGGAAAATGTTCGATGCGCCCGAGAGGTTGCCTAATATAATAATGATTATTCTTGATTTCATAAGTGTTTCATCGGCAAAGAGGTTTTTAAAATCGGCAATCCCCTGGAAAGCCTTTGCTATACATTATCTGATCCCCAGCGCATAAAATACTGTACAGATCATCTTTGTCATTTTTAACCTGAAAATGATAAACTCTGTCCCGACCGTTCACTGAATTACCAAAGCACTAACCTCTGCAGATCGCATGATATCTGATTGTCCGTCAATCTGTGGATACTGGAAACTGCAACTACTAAAGATTATTCATGCGACTTATATGTTCGGAAAACTTTTCGCTAGCTATTTTGCTTTTGTGACACTGAATTGTCAAACTGCGTCTAAAATAATGACAATGTACACTCAGCTCAAGCGTAAGAGGCCTTTTTGTTATTTAATTAAATGTAAATTGGTAGCCTAAGTATCGTGCTGAGAAACCATCGCACTTTTGACTCTTGAATTTCGGCAGAAACTTCAGATAGTATGCAGGGCGGCGCTTTGTTTGCGTTAATCAACATTTTGTACTTGTAACGTATGTCTCGCTTTTAACCTGCACATACAGACTACTTGATTTCCTCCTTCGGCTTTCGTGTTAAGATCAATATTGGTACACTGATCTGACCACTAACATGTTTTATTCGAACCTATTCCCACATTATTCTACTGACCCGACGATAGTTTATCAAAATGGCACGTGTGCTTGCTAACTAATTTTCTGGGTTCTTGAATTGTAGAAACCTCACCGCAGGTTCTAGGTATTCCGAGACCTTTAAACAACCTACAAAGCATAAGTAGTGGCCGTTTTGTGAATAGTAAAATACATCGGTGGACATTGATTCCTCTGCTGTAGGGTTTGCGTATCTGCATATTTACAAGCGTTTTGTGTGCCAGTTAATTTAAAACCCTCACCAGTGAAAAATTAAAACAAAACAACTCGGCTCAAAGATTTATCAAACACCCCCTCCTCTGAATACACCACCAAATTAAACTAATGTATTACGGAATTAATTTCACATACTGCTCCTGCTGCTTGATTCTTTAGACATGAACCGATTTTACTTTTTTATATTTTGGCAGGCAGTTTAACAGTGTTTTGTTTTAGGGAATCGGAATAAGCACGATCACTTCCGTGTACGAATCCGCACACGCATACGTCTACTTTATGAGTATATTAAGACTCTCAACTTGAACTTAATCATTTGACCAGAAGTGGCCCTCTAGAGTATCCGAAGGGACTACATAGCCATAAATTAAGCAATTAATACGGAACTTAACCCTTGAGTTCAGGCAACCTTATGCATCCTTATTCTAATATACCACTCCAAAAACAGAGGTGGCTACTAAGTGACATTTGGGTCGTGTTTGTTCCTGTAGCCGCGCTGGAAGTGAATAAACCCGGACTAACTGCAATAGTGATGGCAATAGCAGCTCTACGAGTAAGCATCTGGACACGCCAAACGGAAGGCAGTAAGACGGTAAGTAGGGAAAGCTTGAAAGAGGTGCGAATAAGGAAAATGTGATCGTGTATTTGGAACAGTTTGCGGAGAACATTGGTGTGTAGACAAGGAATACCAAAGTGCAGAAGCAAGACAGATAGCCAATAGGAATTGGCTATGCGTGGTCAAGATCGTTCTACATACTGTGCAGGAAAGTGATGGAGGATAAGGGGGGTTAGATCGCAATTGGTAGCCAGGCCCCGTATTAAAGATGGCTGGGGGGTTGTTTACTGGGGCTTTTTGTGGGGCTACATAATCACATCTGACCCATTTGGCTTCCGTTTTATGTTTGACGTTAGGATTAGGGTACCGGTTAATGGTGCCAAATTTCGGGTTAGGGTTATACCTTTAGGCTTAGGTTTACGGGTTACGGTTGGGATTTAAGTGTACAAATAGGTTTCAATATTACGGTTGGGTTTTTCAGTCACGGCTACATCTTGGGACTACGGTTACGTTTACGATTTCGGTTAGGGTTAGGGTTGCCGTTAGGTTTAAGCGTTAACGTTTAAGGTTAAGGTTAGGCTTAGGGTTAACGTTAGGATTAGGGTTAAGGTCGCCGTCCTCTTCCCCATTCCTGACTTCCAACTGCGATCTAGCCGATAAGGGAAAGGATTCGAAGGCAGTCACGTAAACGGATAAGACAAATGATGAACTATTAGAAATGAGGAAACTGCATGACGATACGTTTTTGCAAGTTACACTGTAATAATGATAATAAAAATATAGATAAAGTAAGGTGGAAAGCTATACTGAAGTGCACAGGCAAATTAGAAGGCAATTCCAACCCATAAACAAGGCCGCGCACCTGCACGTCATTTGATTTATTTACTGTATGTACTGCAATAGTGAAACTTTCTCGAGAACGTCATCGACCTTCCTCCTCCATACCTAGCCTTATCACTGGTTGTATTATGAAAGGAGAAAAGGACAATCTGAACGGGGACGGGGTGCAAGTGGAGTGAGCATTAGGTCAAAACAGTGACTCTGTCATGTCTGGCAGATGCATTTATCACGTATCTCGATAGTGCACTTTGAAAGTATATCATTTTAGCATAATCAGGCCTACTCAAAAGAATTCAGTAGGTCAATCGTATGATATTCCCAAGGTGCGACTGCAGAACCAACATTTGCGGATAATTGTAATAGAATAGTGTACACAAGGAGAACCGCCAAAAACAATAAACTGTTCAACCCACCACAATCGTATGACCCAATTTACGTCCTGTCGCTGTATTCGCATGCGCTTAGAGCATGAACCAATAATGTAATTGTGCCTTATCATACGATTAGGAATGCGAGCATTGCAAAACAACATATACCTTAGTTTACATATTCAAACGCTAATAATTCTTACAATGACAGTTCGCATAAATAATGCCTTGCATATCTGAAAATTCCTAATGTAACTTTTACTCACTATGTTGGGTTGATAGTATTGATTACATTTTGTTTTGTATCAGAGAGTGTTGCATGACAGTACCTCGAAACGGACTCATTAAGTAGCTACATCTAGCCTGTGCAGCCAACGTTTATATTCAGATGAAAGGACGAAATTATATCATTTGTATTTGTACGATATCGTTTCCAGAATGAAGTACTCGAAACATAATACAAGCTGTGGATGCGAACTTCAACTGCGTCTCGCAACGACATAGGGTTTCTTAACCGCCATTGATTTCCAAAAGGCGCATGCAATGTCATTCCAGTGAAACTAAACTGGCCCAAAACAGAATTCACTCTGAACATTCAAAAGGCCTTTATTGTAAACAAGTCTCGACCAATAATGCTCGCTGTATAACAAGTTTTGAATAACTGCTTGAAACATGCGGATTCCGCAAGTGCATCAATGAAAAAAATAGCAAAGAGCGATAAAGAACAATGTGCCTCCTTGTGAAGCAAAATGAACCGGCTGTTCGTCATCAGTTATTTTTTCTAGAGGTGGGCATCCACAAATTTAAGGAAGTCAGCATCTTGGAAGGAGTTCTTTGCGATATATGGTTCCTTCTTCATGACTTCACGGTACTTTAGCACGTTAGGCCACTGAGAGGCGATCGTCTCGATGCTCTCACCAGAGGCTTCGTCCAGTTTCAGCAGTCGGCCCATTACATAGTCCCAGGCATTCAGGAAGGGAAAGAGAGCCAGGTCGCCTAGACAGAGTTTCTCACCTGCAGATGGATAAAATTGGGTTAGGTCCGCTGGTTGGAATTGTTGCCAAAGAGGAATATCACAAATAAATATACAAAAATAAATAAATGTATGATATATGCTGCAGAAGGCTATTTTTCCTTTTTTGCAAAAAATCACATGACCAATTTATAGGAAGAAAGCGAGACAAATGGTAAACGTAGGTAACGCGAGCAAAATAGGATTGCTCATTTTGCCAAAAATTGGGCTTTATTTTAAGGCGAATTCCACTAATCGACACTCCAGGCAGCAGGTCGGCACATAGAAATAGTAAACTGCTGAGTTGCATAATCAATCTACGGGGAGAAAGCGAGGTATATAGCAAACATGGGCATCTGGAACAAGACAGGGTTTTTATTTTGCAAAAATACTGAATTTTACTTTGCGTTGGATCCACCTTAAGCATCATTTCGGGCAGTAGGATATAGGGTAGCCATAAAAAAACTTTTCGATTGGCATAGAAAAATAGCAAACTGTACAGTTGAGATAAATGAGACGGCATTATTTTGGCTTGTGGGCAAGCAGGTGTTATGGCACGTGGCAGCGTTAGATATAAATCTAAGACCTAGAAGTGGTAACTGGCGTACCCATCAGGTAGGGACCCTTGATGGCTTTGTCGAGATTTGACAGAGCTTCTTTGAAGGCCTCAGCATCAGTCTTGGTTGTCTTAGATGAGAAGCAGAGTTTGTAGCGGGGACCAGCCAGCTAAACAGCGAATGCAAAATGATAGCCCGGCAGATTTTTTATATGCATTGCGAGAGTTGAAAGAAAAACAGAACAAAATGAAAAGGTACCAAAAATAGACGCTTTTGCAGGCCAGCCTAATGAGACATCAAGTATGAAAAGATGTTACTTTAAACGCGCACAGTAGGCGGTGCAAATAAACTCACTTAATTCTAGTTAACATGTTTGGCCTGTTCCATTTAGAGTTTAGTCATCAGTGTTTCACTCAGGTTTCGTGAAATTAACCCAACATGGAGGAAGGCGCATATGATCGTCGCCGCATGAACTGTACTCCTAAAAGGACTTATAGAATGTCTGGTTTTTAAGTAGTTGACGTTGGTCTGGACTACAAAGTGGACGTGGCGGTCAACCAACAGAAGCAAGGTGGAGGATACTTCTTCTAGCCCAACACGATGCACTCTTAAATGGCCTTTTTTACTTCTGCAACTGGAACTTACTGGATCTGTTAAGGAATGTCATTTCAACTACCCCATCGGGGGTGGCAAGCAACATCCAATCTTCTACGCTTCATTAAATCATATTTTTAAATAATGCACGATCTCAGATGACGACCTCACATATGAAATCCGCATGCAAAAATGTCCATATTACAGAAGATGTTTATAATCGAGCTAGTCATTTCAATGATGGCTTGAATGCGAGGACGAAAATGGTCATTAAATATTGTCATTGCAATAATGATTTTTATTATAATGATGCTGATGAAGTCCGTGGTAAGTATGATTATGATTATCGTGACGATGAAAATGCTAATTGGGTGCAGTTGTAAACTGGAAAAGAAATACCCTGTGGGGGATTTGAAGTCTACCCGATCCAAAAACTCTCTCACTTAACACCAGGCAAAATAACATTCATGAACTATGTTACTGTTATTAGACTCACGGCCGACGACAAGTTCAACGCCTCCTTAAAACCTTCTTCACCGCAGACGCTCAGTAGAGAAGTTTCAGGACCCTTGATATGATCAACATACTTCATGATAACATTCGACTCAATCATTTTCTCACCCCGATACAGCAGTAGCGGGACCTTACCCGCCGGATACAGCCGTAGATACCAGCTTGGCTTTGAGTCGAGTTGAATTAGTATGCGGTCGTACCTGAGAGGAAACAGTGCCATCAGTAATGAGAAACAGTTAACTTCTGTTAAGCAAGATAATTTTCCCAGCCATTAAACACAACCGATTAGGAAGACAAGTTTCGGTGCATCGGACAGATTTCAGGAATAAGAACAGCCTGAGGGAGTTCTGAAGGCAAAGCGCGTATTAAATATACTCCTCTATCTTTCACGAGATTGGTGTAACTCTGACAATTGTAAGAATGACGCCAATGTTATTAATTTAGCGTGAAGAAGACAATGAAGTGAAAGCTTCTACGCAGCAGTATTAAAACGACTAGTCAGTGATACGCCATCTAATGACGGTTGGATGCCGTTATGATGTTGGCGATCTTGGACAAAACCCATATTTAAAGTGATAGGATCCGAACTAACGACGTGTTTCGCCAACATTCTGCCGCCGCATGACATAGCGGCTCGTCAGTGAGTCCCCAGCATTGCCTGTCTGCTTTCTAGTAGATACGCCAATTTAGAAGTGGCTGCTTTTTAATTTCCCTAGAAAGTAAGTGCAGACTTGAAGTTGATCAGTACATTTAAGGCCTATAGACTCAGACCAAAGTTTATATGTAGTTTTCCGTTGTGCCCGTAATGCAAAACGGGACGAGTGAGTTCTGTAAGAACGATCGGTGAGCGCCCCCTGTACCATCGTGTATATGCTTTGAAAGCAAATGCGTTTTTCGGGAAAAGTAGGAAAATTTTATTAAGTAAATTTTCGACGCTGGTTCCCCAGGTCGTCTTCTGACTTGAGCAAATGTGCAAACAACAACTAACATTTCATACGTGCTTAACAATCGATATTCAGTTAGCGTTTGCGCCAGTAAGCGGCCGCCATGTGCGTCATTCGGTATTGATTGGCTCTCTTCTCCTCCATTTTCTCTGAGATTCTTGCGTGTAGAATCTAACTCTATGTGTCGATTGACGCATGATTCATCGGAGTGCATGGCTTCGAGAAACTCGTCCCTTTTAGAGGTGCAAACTTAGACAATGTGAGTTTTGTCCCACGCGATGGTGTGTCCAGTGTTTACTGTGCATGGCTACTTGAACCGGGTGGTGCCGGCTTTTAACGGCCAGTTAGTGTTCATGGATGCGTGTGGAGGCAGACTTCCCCGTCTGGCCATAATATACAGCATCACAGACATCGCACGGAATCTTACAGACAACTTCTTTCCTGTCAAGATAGCCAACCCTGTCCTTAGGGTGTACAAGCTGAGTGCGTAAAGTAGTCGCTGGCTTGTGCATTACATTTATTTGGTGTTTCCGACACATTCCTGACGTAAGGAGGATTCGTCAAGTGTTTGCTTTAGGCGCTTGATTGGAACTATCTAGTTTCTTTGTTTTTATCTCTTGTTATTTCATGCATCGACGTACGAAATCTATAGGATAACCGTTCTGGGAAAATAATTCTAACAAGTAGTTACGTTCAACTGTGTAACTTCTTTTCATCAGAGCAATATTTTTTTGCTTGATGTAGCAGACTGTTGACAGTACTTCGCTTGTGAGAGATTGGGCTGTTGCTATCATAGTGTAAAATTACTTCCGCATTTGTTTCTTTGCTGTAAACCAGTGTATATAATGTTCCGTCAGTCTTACGCTGTACGAGAACATCTAGAAATGAAAGTTTACTGTGAATTTATTTTTTGAGAGTGAATTTAATTCTCAAAATAGTTGTGTTGATGGTGTTGTGAAGCATTTCCAGTTGATCCTTTTTGACAACAACAAATGTTTCGTCATACATCTCACCCACAACTTAGGGTTAACTAATGGGAAAGCCGCCGATTCTAGTTTCTCCATGTCACCTCGGCAACAAAGCTGGATATAGGTGCTCTCATTTGGGCCTTTTTTATTTGTTTATAATATTTTCGATCGAATGAAAACCGGGTTTCCAAACAAAGGTCTGTGAGTTCAAGTAAGACATCTACGGAAACATCCATATCATAGGACGTTAGGACTTCGTATGTGAACTGATTTGCGGAATCTAGCGCTATGGTACTACGGACAAAGACAAGGGAGACTGGGATGGCAATTTTTGGCTTATTAGCAATCGTCAGTCAGTCACACCCAACCCCAAATTGTGGAACACCTGGGGCTCCATCCCGCCACCTGTTAGTTAGAAGTCGAACGTCTCTCACGCATGAGACACGGGCTTGTTGTCCTGTCGATTGCGAGTGGGAATATAGGATGGTAGAGGGCGACGCTCACCGATCGTTTCTACGGAACGTACTCGTCCCGTTGTGCCGTACGGGCTCTCTATCGAGCCCAACTAGCAGCTGCACAGTGGCGCATGATATAGACAGAATGACATTATGCGCCGCTGTGTGGCCGCCAATATAGTCTACAAACATATTGCACACACCAATCCACATTGAGATCAGTCATAACAATAAGCAGCTTCTGGAAACGTTCCCCGGTCGTTCGTTTGCTTTAAGAGTCTGCCCAAAGAATTTTGCAGATACAAATTCGAACGAAGGATCCCAAATAGCCTACAACGACATACACGATGAGGGACCAATATTAAGGGCGCAACCAGCGTGGTGCTCTATCCCAAATCGGTAGGGTTTGCATCCTCATGTTTACCAAAATCTTAGCATTTCAATCCACATCGGCACCGATTATTTAAAGGCTCAAGAGGCAACGAACTCAATCCCTCCAACTTAAATTTTCAAAGGTCTTAATACGAAAAGTTTTAATGAAGCTCACAGGCAGCAAGTAATTAAACCTTTTTATGAGTCTTAAGAAGTAGTTAAAACTTAGACTGCAGTTTCCAAATTACGACTCTTAATTACATGTAAAAACCACCTATTTCAGACTATTGATTCTCATTATGGACCTTTATTAATCCCGTCACTTTAGAATGCCACAAGTCAAAATTTCAATGTTTAAAAAACGAGTTATTTAGATGCGTGGCTGAATAGATATTCCATCTCCCTTTAAATAAAAATACTTGGAAGCATGTGTGGGTTGGCCGTGATGAACTGTGTAAAATAATGTTCGTGTGAGTAGATCGAAAAGGAAAATCATTTAACACAGGCGGCAGACATTCTTACGGTATTTGGTGATAGTCGAGGGTGTATCGAACGCGCTGACAGTAGGGGCAGCAGTGCATTTCATAGAGTGTGAAATTATCCGGGTTGACCTCAGGCTCGGGATCACCTAAAAACAGATTAGCGAATGTGGAGAGGATTCCTAAGCGGCCGGGATTTTCTACGTCTAGCAAAAGGATTCTTTAACGAACAGTGAGCTGCTTTTCCTCATATATACCCGGATCGCATTCCACTTTTTGGACGTAGTAAACACTTATGTATCAAATCCAAATGAGTTATTGCAATGGCCACTTGACTGATTAAGTCAACTGACGTTTCGCAAGAAAGCAACAGGGTTTAGAGCTGCAATTTCCACCCCGCTTCGTAAACGTAAACACTGCCAAAACTGGTGTCTGTTCTGTAAAGGTGGCTCAGAGGTTCTGAGACAGACTAATGGACAGGTGCATTAGGTGTGGCATCCGCAGCGACCCAGCTATGCCGTTCGAGGCCGCTATAAATATTTTGAGCGCTCTTCTTGCGGACTATAAAAAATAAAAAATAAGACTCGAACATGGCTGTGGCTGATTTACACTTCGTTGTCTCTGAGTGTGTGTTCGATCGTGATGTCAGTCCCTAAATACGGCTAGATTGTGAGTATTTTGACCCAGAGGAGTTAACGGTAGCAGTATTTTGCGATTCGGCTGTGGATGCTACAGACAAAATTAGTTGTTAACTTTTTTGCTGATCGCATTCAAGCCGGTCCATCAGCAACCATTTTTGCTGAAGAAAGGATTCCTAAAACTGTCTTAAATGTGCTCCCAGCGACAAATACATTAGCGTCATTCCAATAAGATTGACCAGTTAAAACACGAAAAGGGTCAGCCTAAAAAGATAATGTTCGGATAAATCCGGGCATCGCACTTTCGGAAGGTAAGGTTGAAACCATAAACTGTGAAGATAGTATTTCAGAAGAGAGGGATAGTATATATATATATATCGGAAGCAGAATCGTATCTACGTCGTTTGTCATTGATTTGATAATTAAGCAACGTAACGGGACGGCAATCCTTTTTAGACTTCTGTAACGCTCTCGGATCCGCCTGCTCTTAAGACATGCAAAAAGAGCCAACATAGTGCAATAGAAATAATCTGATTGCAAGCGGAACGCCTGAAATATTACCTCATTACAATCTCCTGACCGCTGAGAAGGCTGGCAGTGGTTGGACCTAGTTACGTTTGCATCTTTTTTGAGAGGTTCATCACAAGGCATTGCAAGGAGGGAATAGAAAGCTCACCGGATTAGGCGAATTTTATGGTTGACGTTTCGTTCGGCTTGGCTGGCTGTCCATTAACAAAGCGTTCTGTGCAAAAAATCGACCAAAATCTTAGAAAAAACAGCCGATTTAGATAATGTTTATTTAAAATCCTGGTAGATGAGTTGCGCAAAACACTTTGATAATGGAGGGCCGGTCAAGCCCTCCGAAACGTCAGTCACACAAGTCCCCTGATCGAGTGAGCTCTTCATAATTCTCAGCTTATCGACCTGGATATCTAACGTCTGCCAACCTGAAAAAGTTCAATTCTGTGGTCCTCGTTAACATTATGAGACGCATACTGCTTCCAGCTAGTCTCTGTTTGACTAAGTGAACTCAGTGTTCTTGCTAATGTATCCGAGAAGTATCGAATCCTTAGTTATCGTTTCTTGATAAAAAGTAGGGCAAACGCATGGGACCACCTATCGCATGATGTATTCTAATAGTTTCAATTTTGTCCTCGGAACTTCGTTAATCCCCATTCTCCTCCTACCATTCAGACGTTAAAAAAGTGTGCTGAAACACCCATGTTTAGAAGAGCAAGAAACAGTTCAGTTTTCCGGATAAGTAGAGCCTTTTTGACATTACTTTGCAATGGTCTCTTTTGGAACCGAACCCTGAATTAAGAACAGAAAGAGTAATTCCGAGGATAGTCAGAGTAATGTGAGAGTTGTCAAATCGGGTAAACCAATATTTACTAAAGACATTATGGGTAAGTAAATTAGCATCCTAAATTCCCGAAGTACCTCGTAAACTCGGCAGCAAAGAACTTTCGCAAACCTACCCTCTTTCAAATGCTGAATTGTGTCGCAGGACATTCTCAGACAAAGTGGCGATACGTGACGTGGATCTGTACAGGCAGCGATCAAACTCATTTTTATATACTCGCGAGCATAGTCGGCATTGGTTATTGGCTACTTATGCATCACGCTGATTGGTAGTCTCACTATGGACAGATCTTCAGAAAACATCCTCCATATAAACACAGCCGCAGGAAAAGCGTTGGATTGATGTGTTTTTGAGGAGTTCCGAAGATGCCCTCAAGGGCATATTATCAAGTTCATTGGTGAATTTGACGATGCAGTCAAGCAGTTAAATCAGGTGCAAATATTAATTTATGTGTGTCTCAATTCTGCATGACTCGTTAACATCTTAAATAAGTGTATTCCCGCAAATTTCACAGCTGGTAGCTCTATGTAGAAAACTCCGAATATACAGCCAGAATACGCGTGCATACTCTTTAACGATGGTTGGCCTATGCTTACTTTTCAGACGTGGGGACCGAACCATGGTGTTTCCACGCAATACCTCCAATGAAGGGTTCTTAAGCGGGTTCGTGTGTTCGAGATAAAATTGCGACAATTATCAAAGGGTTTTAGGTGCCGAGAACACTGAAATAATTAACCAAGTAGTACAAAGTACGGACTTCCCTTTGCCTTCTTTCAGAGATTCGGTTATTGTTCGCAGACCATTTTGCGTGGGCATTGCGCGATTTCGACAAATATTTGTAAGGAATGCAAGTAAAAGTGGACGGCATTGAGCGAAATTTGAATGAGTACATTTTCACTACAATGAAATACGAAAATTCAAGTCTTGAGGGAGAATCGTGGATGAATAATGGGTTTTCATCATTCTGCTCAAAAACAACATCAAAGAATTGTCACTGGAGTCCCGCATCTGTAAATGCATATTCCAATGTGTAATATTCATTTCCTCGCAAACAACACATGAAATGATGTACAGTAGGTAAGTTAACTCACGGAATATCAACTGAAATTCCGAAATGATTTTTCGATTCGAAAAAATTAACTAAATACGGATGTCTAACTCATCACCATGCAGCATAATCCGAAAATATTTCAGCTGATTTGGAATGTCGGTTTTTGGATGAACTTTTCTCTGGCTGCAGGCAAAAACTAAGCTCTGCTAAAAATGGTTGCTTACGTAGCATGCACTTTTCTCATTGATTATCGATGCTCCTAAAAATTAAATAATATTTCATTGCAATAATGCATTAAAATATTCGTTCTTTTGTTCATTCGGTAGAGAATTACGTCTTGTTTCAAGATTGTACTTGAAGGAAGGGTATAATTGGCTTTTGAAAAGGTTTCTAATTATTAGATTTTTAGTACCGTGAAAAGGCCGTTCACAAAACGTTATGTTCCTGAATTTACTAATTTGGCGTGTAAAATTATCCATATAGCTCAATCCACTATTAAATTATATGAAACCCATATAGTTTCCTCCTACTACCGTAGAGAAATGTATGATTTTCCATACGCAGAAAACGTACGGCACGTAGTTTGGAAATCCTGAATGCGAGTGTAACGGCAGGTCAGATTCGGTTTTTGAAAACCGAGTTAGACCCCTTCTTCGAAAATAAAATTCAATGAAGACGTATTATTCTGCGAATGAGCGAAAGGATAATTATGTTATGTTTTCCATAAAATAAATTGACTTTTTAAGGGCATCGAAATTCATTGAAAAAACACATGTTAATTCAGTAGCCATTTTTTACAAGGTATAGTTATTGCATGCAACCGGCCAGAAGTTTATTCGAAAGCCGCCATCCCAAAATAACTGATTTAGCGTAAAATTATGCTGCAGATTGATTAGTTGTACAACCCTGCGTTTATTAATCTTCTCGAAAAGAAAACGCATTTCGGAATTTCGGTTGACATTTCATGAGTTATTCTATCTACTGTACATGGACTCATTTCTATCCAGGCGGACGCTCGTCATCTTGATTTCCGGCAATCACCGAATTTCAAAAAAATTGCAGATTACGTGTCACAAACCCCTTAATCTTTCAATCTTATTAATCTTCTCTGAAGTATCGTTTTGCTGATACGGAGCTTCATATGGCTTGCGTAATTTGTACCATCACGAGATTATTTAAGCCACCTATGACCTGCACTCAGAACTATGTGTCATTTTAACTGCCTGGCGCGTAAGCTAATCTTCACTTGCACTTAGCACGGCAAAGCATTGGTCGTCAGGGTCTCATATTGGCCTGAATCGTAGATAATGATTAAGAAATTGTGGAGCATCAGCCGGATTTTTCGAGCTACTTATTAGTGAATTATTATTATTATTATTATTAGTATTATTAGTGAATTCCTTAGGGATGCTTGAGTGTACCGTGTGCATTCAAATTGAGTCTTGTAAAACCGACAGCAAAAGTTTTACTAAACTTGCCATCTTTCAGATACAGCGTGCGAATCTATCCAGGCAGTGGGCAATCTCATTATTATACACCTTGCAGGCCGTCGGCGTTAGTTATTGGTAAGTAAAGCTGTTCGCTGATTGGGAAGTTGTCTATGGACGGCTTCACAAGGACGGAGACAAAACGAGGATGCGATAGAGCTAAGCTCTAACTACGAAATGTGGACCAGGATGCAAGACTTTGAACTGTGATTCCTGAGCAAGATGTAAAGAGAAAGAATGCAAACGGTGGATGGAGAAGGGTTCTTTTACTATATTGCACTACGGCTAGCCCACGCCCGCCCCTTATTTAATCACATATTCACAAACGTCATTTGTTAAGAGCATTGGTTGGCGTGGACCTCGGCGATCACCGACTTTGAAAGCGATTGCGCGTCACGTGTCGAGATCCTTTAACCTCCTGATCGTGCTTATCCGCTTTGTAGTCCCGTGTCGCTGATGCGATTTTTTTATTGTCTTAGTAAATAATGCAAACATGCTGGACCAGACAAAGCACATATACGATGACTTGAGCCAACGGAGATCAGCAGCATGATCTTTGCGTTCTTTTGTATGTATTTTTTGAATACTATTTTTCACGCATACCCAGGATATAAAAGAAACAGTTACGCGGATGCGACCGATGCAAACTGGGAGCCTTTCAACCATAGCTATATTTAATAAGCAGCCCTATGAGTGAACTCCTTGATAAACAGTTAAAAAACTAAAAGCAATAATCCGTCCGAGTCTAGGTTGCTGTAGATTCGATATGCATGGGAGTTTGAATATGCTCACTTTTTATTCCATCTGATTGAATTCTGAAAACTCGTCGACAATATGAAGAAGGCTTTACTACTCGGTCGCTTTGGTCACATGTCAGTTGGCCAATGCGCGTAAAGGAGCAGCCAAATTATGTGCTCGTATAGTAGGTCCGTATGAGCTAAAAGGTCATAGATAAAAAGAGATGGTTTGCTCTCAAGAGGTGTTATGTTGCTTGCTGAAGGGTCTTTGGTTTACTAACAGTGTCAGCAGTAGTATCGGCACTGGACACTGGAAAAGCAGACGGCGGAGGGTGAATGAAAAAATCGATAGAGTACGCGCGCACGACAGAAAGGCATAAGGTAGGCCTTGGCAGAGGCGGAGACTGAGTTAGTTGCTGCGTATGGATGTATGGGCCATTCATGCGCATGACCTGTGTTTCAGACATCAACGCCGCTCATGTTCAGCATACTTTGTCGATGTAAGCGACTAGTAAGCTTTGTCAGTGACCATCTAAGGTGCCGTGTCAAGGTGTCCAGACCTTGTAAAACGAAGTTACTAGCTGGCCAAGATTGTAGACGTTCACGAATCCACCTGAAAAGGGCAGCTGACTACTCAACCGGCAGATTCTGCACCACCGTTGCATGTGAACGATTCCAGACATATTACGACGGCCTGAAAATGCCGTTTATTCTTTTCTTTAACGGCCGACTTTGATCGGGAATCTACGGGTCTAAGTTAACATTCCTACTTATCAACATTTCAATACCTTATCTCACATGATACCAATGACAGGTAGTCAAATGAATAAATATTTATCTAGAAAAACAAAGAATATGAAATTCTCGCATCTGTATTTATTTGGCATATTTCTTACCTGGTGCAATATCTTCTTTGTTAAACCCTTCTTCATAATGTAAAGGTGAATGAAGACGTAGACATTTGACCTATTTATCTTGGGAGATATATATCACACTCCAACATTATAGTTGCTTAACAAAGAGTTTGCATTCAACTTAAATGGTATTTTCGTATCCCAATGAAGGTTTAAACCTAAACCATTACTATTTCAATAAAATTCAAAATCAGTAAAGCGACAGCGACCATAACGTCCCTTTAAATGCGTAAGTAGTATTTTCCTGATCAAGTTTCCAATAGTCAAGCACTGACAGAAAATGCATTTGTTCCAAAGCACCTTGCGGGTTTTGCGAAGGCAATTGCATAATTTTTGCGCAGGGAGGTAAAAGGGTCCAAAGTATTTCAAAAGCAAGTTCTGGCCGACCGCATCGTAAGGTAGGAACGGTGATCAGGCTAACGTTACGACAAACAAGTTGTAACTCTTCATGTATAAATTCATACCTTCATCAGATTACAACAGTTCTCTACCAAATCGTAAATCGCGAAGAATCTCAGGCAAGGACGCATTATGCGACTCCGCTCAGGGAACAGAATCCAGGTCACCGCGATATATTACGTTCTTGCCTTTGCTATAAGTCATATTGACACAACTGTGAAAAACTTGACGCCCCGGCGGAATTCGAACCCACGCAGTAAGAGGGCAGGCTTCAGTACAGCCAACGTTCTAACCTAAACTTCTATGAATTACGTGTGTCTGGGAGTCATCTGGTGGATTCTAGGTGAATTACTTAGGATGTCCTGCTTGGGCAGTCAACTTACTGTATCAGATTTGGTGGATTTCAGACGTTGCAATAGGTTGGGCGGGTAAATTGACCCAAATGTGATTAAACTCGCGTCGTCCGGCGGTGCTTCGCAGCCCAATTGATTAGAGCGTTGACTGTACTAAAGCCTTCCCCTTACTGCGTGGGTTCGAATTCAGCCGAAGTGTCGAGTTTTT